AATTATGTGGGATATTGAAGCTTTTCGTCAGAATATCAAAGTTTCTTTGCAATATTGTTCATTATACACAAGTTTTTCCTACATAATTATTTTCAGATTTGTATATGTCTAGCAAAATTTTTATATGTTTTAGCAATATCGTTTTTTTTATATAGAAAATTATGGATCATCAGAATCCGCTAAATCGCACAGCAAAATTTATACTTTGAGCGGTGTTTGGCCAGGCGCACCATGTGTTTTATTTTCGAGAACATTATTCATCATTTCAGTGATAATTATTCAGTGCTGTTACTGAACTACCGTTATTTTATGATACATATGCATTCGGCCACACTTTGGGAATTCATGGACATCCTGCCTGTTGTTATGGCACATTCCAAAATGCTTTTTAAGTGTCTTGTGTTTTGGTTGAATCAGCGGTAAGTAACATATGTATGCAAAATTAAAAAAAAAAATTTATAAATGTGTTCCATCAAATTTTGCTGATTGGAATACGTGAGAAATTTTGGTTTACATATATTACATTCAGGAATATTAAATATCTAAAACATGTGGTCACAGCACGAAAATTAAGTTTGCTTTAAGATCGACAATATGATCGGTGAACATCACCATTCATAGAAAATTCATCGAAGTCTTGACAATAATGCAAGAGGATTTGAGTGATTGCGTTAATAACGATATCAGCTTGCGTGAGACAGCAAGCAAAGCAAAAACATCGGAACGTATTACAAACTTAATTCTCATTCTTCATACAATGACAGTTTCTGGCCATGGTATTGGTGTCATCCTGGCCAATGTCGACGTCACCGATAATACGACCACGGAGTTACGCTTCTTTACTAAGATAGAAGTTCCGTTTGATATAAATACGCAACGCACATATAGATGTATTTTAATAACAGAATTCTTTTTCTTGATGATGTGGTCCAGGTCGCCTAGTGCAATAAATTCTTTATTAATAATTCTCTAGTTAGTTGTGAATGTGCAAATGATATTCAAGATCGCGAAAATATAAAACAATTTTTAATTTTAACAATTACAATTACTTAAACAATTTTTTAATTTTTTAATTTGTAACTATATTGTATTTATCATTTAAAAGCATGATGCACATGACAAATACAAAAATTGGAATAAATTATGTTATCTTAATTATTATTATGGATTTTAATAATATTATTCTGTACAATGTCCATTTTTGCAGTTTGAACAACTAGTTATGGATTCTGATTAATTCCATAGGCAATCTTTATTTTCAGACCTTTCATACAGCTGGCCAAATCGATATTGTGCGTTACTGGTTAACGCATCTTGTATCCTCCAAAGATGAAAGCAAAGATGAATCAATCTCCATCGCAACAACTAAAATTATTTATAAACATAAAAAGATTATACGTTTATCGGAATATATCGGAAGTCTTTTTACATATATTGCGCTGGTGCTATTTGTGTTAAACTCGGTAATGATTTGTTTGCTAGCGTTCCTTGTCGTAACGGTGAGTAAGATTATTAAATATAAACTTAGTGTTTGAGAATATAATTGCAAGAATATAATATAACATTAAATATTAATTTATTTATTAATATTTAAATTTATTTTATTTATTTAAGTTTTTATTAATTACACATTTACTTAAAATATACGTTGTAATAAAATGTAATAATTAAATATATTATTTATTATTTATTATATATTTAATAATATATTTGTACATTACTAGTGTTATATTAGTTTATATTTAATAATTTTTCTTATACCATATTATTGTACAATATCACAGTCAATCGGCAACTCCAACGCGTCAGAGCAATTAATAAAATCCTTTTTATTTTACTTTATAACGAATCTCGAAACATATATGTTTTGCTATGCAGGAGAATATTTGAAAAACAAGGTTACGAATAAAATTTATTTAAATATATTAATATTTACCGTAGAATGTTAATAAATAACAATTTATTATATTTAATTAAAAAAGCTGTTATAAAGAGTACTCTGTAGACATTAAAAATTTTTCTATTATTTCAATTTTTATAGAGTAAGGAAATTGGTTTTGCGACATACAGTTCTGCATGATATGAAATCTAAAGATAGTCGTGTCCTATTATTTGTACTAAAATCACAAAAGCCACTGACGCTTACAGCTGGAAAGATGATGGAACTATACTTACAATCTTTTACAAGTATAAGATTTATATTTATTCTATAAATTTTGTTCAATTATAAGATTTATATTATAAAAATCTCGTCTTTGCGTTAAAAAATGTTTTTTAATACTAAAAGAAAATATTCTCTAATACCAAAATACAATATTCTTCTAGATTATGAATGCTTCGGGATCATATTTATCGGTATTATTGGCAATGTAATAAATTAGAGCATCGATTTCTTTTTTAACAAAAAAGTATTATGACTCAAATAAAAAGACATTAAAGATGTCATTTTAACATCAAAATAATTATAATAAGTAACATTTGCTTACTACCTGGGGAATTATTTGTATATTAGTAATTCTAGGAATTCACATTGTAATATAGTATATTTCCCGAAATATAAATTTAGTATAATAATCTAATTCGCGTCTTTTCTTAAATTACAATACATTATATAACGTAGTCAAATTTTATATTAATTAAAAATCATGGATTTATTCCTTGCACAATTTAGAGATAAAATATTTTATTACCCTCTGCAAAAGAATTTCCATTTACACGTTAAATATATATTAAATATAACAATATGCACACATCAATATTATTTTAATTTAACAGAAAAAAATTTTTTTTTGATTGAGATTTATCTGTATTACACAAAAATGTTTCGTATAGTACAGAAAAATTATAAGAATTATAAGAATTATATGTAATTTTATAAAAGATAGTATAATTATGTTTCAAAAATCAGCATTTGCTGTGTAACGTTACTATCGCGAATTAATGCGATACAATACTAAGACAATAAAATCAATAGTTACAACGCATCAGCACTACAACCAATTGTTTCTTATAAAACATTATCGTCCATTTATTAGCAGTAGACGATTTCTAGGAAAAGCTGTAATGTCGTGATGAACAAAAATTGACGACATTCTCTCGTAGGACGGACGATACATGTAGCTCTCCATATGTATCATTACATATTTAACGTACGCACTTCGTGGCTGCATTGTCAGTATCAGTATATCGAAGATATCTTATTTATTCTCATTTTTTTTCTACAAAGTTTCAAAGAAACATGACGGATATATTTAAGACTTGCACGCACAATAAAAATATTTCATGAGCAATTTTCATTGGTCGATTTGTTAGGGGTGCATCTGTCCGAACACCCACAACTCATCAGTCTTTACAGAGTATTCAATGATATACATTGTTCTGTCACTAGGAGATATATTTCTAAATTCTTAAATTTTCTTGAAAATTCTCCTTTAACAATTCTTATTCACTCTATTCAATATTTTTTAATGCGTTTGCTTGAACAAACCGAGTGCAAAAAGAAATAAAAGGTTATGACTCGTAAAAGCACAATTAACCGCATAATGTTTCGTATGCTTCCTTGGTGTGGTATCGGTTCAGACGGAATAATTATTTTAATCAGCAGATTATTTTGGATTATTACACTAGGATTTATTGGACTCTGTCATTGTCTCTATTTTTTGTCGCATTTAAATGCGCAAAATTTTTTTAATTTGGTAGACTGCTTATGCAGCTTCTTAGCACATGCGAAAGTAATCACTAAACTCATTGCGTTTTGGGTAAATCAGAGGTAAGTAAAGCGAGTGTGTAATGTTATTTAAATGACAAATTTTTCGTTGTCATTTATAATTTCATTATTGATGTATACATATTAATTAAGATATATGCAATTATTAAGATCAAAAGCCATAGTATTGATTATACTAACAAATTACATAGCCTTTTTTATAATTATCTCTATGCACGTATTTAATTTTTTATTATTATTTGATTCTGGAAAAACTATGAAAATTACAGAAATATGTAAGAAAAAAATTCCACTGAAAAAAGACAGTGATGTTAATATTATTTCGGAGATAAAATATTTTTAAAAGTATGGTTCACTGTGGCGCGATGAATAGGACTTTTATTTAAATTCGACAGCGTGATCGAGGAACAATCATCCACAGAAAATTCGTGGAAACTTTGACGTTAATCACGGACGACTGGAGTGATTGCGCTAAAAATGACATCGGCATGCGCGTAATGACAGACAAGGCAAAAATATCGGATCGTATCACTAATATAATATTCATCCTTCACACGGTGACGGTTGCTGCTTATTGCATAGGAACTATCATCGCTGATGTCGATATTACAGATAAAATCGAGTTGCCACTTATCAACAAATTAGAGCTTCCCTTCCGCGTTAATACGCAGCGAATGTATAGAGTAGTGTTAACCATAGAATTTATACACATGATTCTTACAAATTGGGCATCTGGTGTTATAAATATCATATTTTTAGCTATGGTAAGTTATAATTGCACAAGTGATTATAACTAAAAATATATATATATATATATATATATATAATTATAATAATTTGAAATTTTGTGTCGTCTTTTTCGTATAATAATGTATCTATATTAAAACTTTGTTCTTTAATAACATATTATAAAAACATAACTCTTTAAAATTAAAAACTAATTCCATGAAATATATTATTTGTATAAGATATTTTGTTAAATATATATTTGGAAATTATATTTATAAATTGTTGATATTTTGTTCTATTCTTCTTTATAAATTATTAATAGTTTAATTATTTTTACATGTAGCTAAAAAATTTTAATTAAAAATCAAATCTTTTGTTTTAGATTATACATGTAGGTGGTCAAATGGACGTTTTGCAACGTTGGTTGGCAGAATTTATTCCTAAAGAAATCGAAAATGAGCAAAAATCAGTCGTTATCACGACAAACAAAATTATTCTAAAGCATCAAAAAATTATTCAAATTTCAGACAGTATCGAGAGTTTGTATACGTACATTGCGTTATTGATATTCGCGTCAAACACAATATTAATGTGTTCGCTGGGTTTTCTTATTGTAACTGTAGGTATAATAGTCACACTGAGGACAGAAATTTTTATATTCTGTAAAAATATGCTTGTTTGAGTATTAAATAATGCACAATGCTATTATATCTTGTTTATTTTCTCAGGCTCTTGGTACTGACGATGTTGTGGAGCAGATGATGAAATGTCTTTTGTTTTTCATGTCAACAAATCTGGAGGCATTCATATTTTGTTACGCCGGAGAATATTTAAATAGTAAGGTCAGTGATGTTAAAAGTAATTATTATAACAATAAAAGAAATTTTTATTGACATTGTAGATAATTTTATGTATATATTTTTTTATAAAACAAGGCATAGAATTAAATTTTATTATTAAAGTAACATTACAAAGTCTCTTTGTTATTTTTACTTCCATAGAGCAAAGAGATCGGATTTGCAACGTATAATTGTGCATGGTACAATTTGAAATCTAAAGACAGTCGCATTTTGTTATTCATAATATTAAGATCACAAAAACAATTGACGCTAACAGCTGGCAAGATAATGGATCTCACCTTAGAATCCTTTACAAGTGTAAGATTTAAGCAGAATAGAAAGTTTTTGATAGTTAACTCTATCTTTATTGAACAATGTATATATATATATATATATATATATATATATTCACATACACACACACACACACACATATATATATATATATATAATTTAGTCTAGTAAAATAGTAAATATATATATACATATTTACTATTTATTAGACAAAATTATTTTTTATCGATGCACCTTTTTGTTATATAAATATTATATTCGGCATAGCAATGTTTTATTTAAATATCAATTCCTAATGCAAACAACATTGTAGATTATGAATGCTTCGGGATCCTATCTATCAGTATTGTTGGCGATGCAATAAATATCACGTTCATCTCAACAATTTTTAATCAATAGTCGTGAAGCGGGTACACAGACATGTAAATATCTTCACTAGTTATATATTAACACATATTGTAATATTGCGTGTTTTGCTAAATATTATTCTATGAGATAAAGATAATTTTTTAAATGAAATATGATATATAAAGTTATAATAATCTATTTCTATAGTTCTCTATTTAAAAGTGCCATATCTAAGTGCCATACTTCGGTTTTTTATGGACTGATAAATCGTGGAAATTTTTCTTCAAATCGAGTTCGCAATGTAGAAGATACACAAAGATATATAGATATGCAGTAATTTATTTTTTTCTTATTCTCGTCTTCCAAACTTTAAAATATTTTCAAAGCTTACTGAGCATGACTTGCAGTGCATCATGAATATACTGTATTTATGTTCACGCACATAATTGCTTATTTAAAGATAGCAATTTGCGGTTCTCGGAGAAAGAGAGAAATGACCCCACCTATTTCCTCTTTTTTATTAAAATTATCAGAACCCACAACAGCTGCATGGGTAGTTTACAGGAAATATGGTAAAAATATTTAATGAGCTATTTCCATTGATCGACAGTTCAAGGATAAATTCGTGTGATGACCTCTTAGAGACGCCCAGTCTGCAACAATTGTGTGATGTACGTCAATTCATCAAAACATACATCTGGCAGAAGTACATAATCAAATTGTATTTTCTTTTGCTTCGTTTAAAGTATTTTTATTCAATATATTTTTTATACTTAGAAAAAGAAGTAAACAGAATATAATGATTCGTAAAAGAATTATTGATCGCACGCTAGAAGTTATTTGCACTTTGTACGGAATATGGCCAAATTCACGTATTCCGTTTTGCAAACTATTTTGGATTATTATAACAATAATTATGCAGTTCTACCATTATCGTTATTTTTTGATACATTTTAATTCCGATGAACTTTCCAATTTGATGGATTGTTTGAGTAGCTGTATGACATATATGAAATTCACGACTAAAGTTATTGTGTTTTGGATAAACCAACGGTAAGTATAATGATTGACATAAATAATGACATAAATAATAATATAAATTGCTTATAATCAAATGACAGTTAAGTGTTATGTGATGTATTTTTAATAATTAACGTGATGACAGAAAAGCTATAATTAAATGATTTAATCAATTACATTTTGTGTTAATTAATTAAATCACATTTTGTCTTAATTAATCGAATTACATTCAAAGATAGTTAAAGTTAGGCAAAGCAGATCAATATTTCTCAAATAAATAGATATCTCTTTAGTATTGATTGTTAAATGATTTTATACGATATCGTGCGACATACATAACATATCCCAGTTTTATCCCATAATAAACTTTTATATTTATCAGTCGATATCCATAGGTTTTTAATTGTTCTCTCGCAAATATCGCTACACCAACATTCAGATATTACACAATCAGATACGTACACAAAAAAACATACACATCTCGTAGCATCGCACAACTCAGTTTCCTGTTTCTTCGTCAAAGTCTCTTCATCCTCTAGATTTTAAAAATTTTTCAAAGGATCCCCTCCAAACTCGATTTGCCATCGCATATACGTCGTCCCACCTATATGTCCGTTTGTATTGTTGCAAATTTAAGGCAAACATTTTGCGATCACTAGTACACGAAAGAGGAAGAAATAATTCTACTTGTACCTATCTTTTATCAAAGTGAGGAGGAGTAGCAGCGTTGCATTTGTGGTCACTGTACGATGAAAATATTTAATGAGCAACTTCTATTGGCTGTTGGCTTAGAGATGCTTGTGTGATGACCTCTTACGACCTCCCAGTCTTCAATGATATTTGCTGATATAACATCAAGTTGTGAACAGAAAATATACATTTAACGAAACTATATTTTTTTATTTCTTTTTGAACGTATTCTTGCTTATCATAGTTGTATATGTATATATTGATGCAAGTATATTATGTGTGTGTGTGTGTGTGTGTGTCTGTGTGTGTATTGATATATATATATATATGTATATATATATATATATATATATTGATGCACTAATTTACGTATATGATTAACAATAAGAATAAATGACATTATGACTTGTAAAAGTAAAATTCATTGCACGAGAAAATTTATGCTTATCTTATTTGATATGTGCCTGGACATTTCGTGCGTTACATTGTGTAAATCATTTTGCTTTATCATAATAACAATCATTCAATTGTGACACTATCAATATCTCTCAAAATATTATAATTCCGACGATATATTTGATTCGATAAACTGTTACAGTAGCTTTTTAACATAATTGAAATTAATTGTCAAATTTATTCTCTTTTGGTTAAATGAACGGTAAGTAATATTATTTAATTTGTATACAATATTGAAAGCATTAGACAAAAATATTACAATTGATGCAATCATTATTCATGTCAAAGCTCTAGCGAAAGATGTATATTGTTATTTCAAAATTACAATTTTACAAAAAATTTATTTATACAATAACTTTCATTTTTTAAATATAATTGCAAATAATATTATTATGTAATCACTAAACATTCTTTTTAAAATATTTTATATGTATTTCATACTAATTTGACCAGCTTCAGGGAAGAAAATATTATAAAACGCTCTAATTAAAAAATATTGTTGCAATATTTTTACTTTATAATATTAATATATAGTTATATTCATTATTAATAATTTATAAACAAAAATTGTTGATGAATAAAAACAACAAATCTTTATTTGTTAATTATTTGTTAATTTTAAGTGCCTAGACATTTACATGATGACAATTAAGATTATCTTACGATAATACGATTAATAAAAGCAATTATTCACAGAAAATTCGTCGAAATTTTGACAGTGGTGGCAGAAGATTGGAATGATTGCGCTAACAGTGACATTAGCATACGTGAGACAGTACACAAAGCGAAAATATCGGATCTAATACAAAAAGATCATACTTTATTATAGATCATGAAAGCATCAGGATCATATTTGTCAGTATTGCTGGCTATGCAATAATCACGTCACATATTTGAAGATTTTTATATAGTAGTCGTGAAGTATATATCATGTAAATATATCTTCACTAGTGATGCGTATAGTACAACATATATTTTCATGGTTTAAATAGTAATATAATTTAAATATTCTAAAATCGTAGTAATCTATAATAGAATATAAGTCATTTTTTAAATGTTACCAGAGAACCTTACCTTTCTATTTTCTAAGAATTGTTCAATTTTTAAAGAAAACATTAAATAAAATAGTGTTAAATAAATAAATATATGTATATACACTTTTCGTTATAAAAAGATAAAATGATTTACACTAAAATTATTTACAAAAAATATAATGTAGCGAGTTAACGATATTATATCAGTTAATCTGTTTGAATATTCATTTGCATAAATTCTAATTGACATATATGTGATATATATATATATATATATATATTATTTCACATACATTTTCAGATACAAATTCATGCATGTGTTAATCTTAATTGTATTTTTATAATACCTATATTTTTATAACACAAAATCACTTTTAGTTATTATATGCAAATTAATGTAATATTTTGTAGCATTGCATATAGTTGCCTGTTCGTTCATTCCTTAGAGATTAAGACTTTCCTAAAACATCGTTGTCACGATTGATCATCGGACATATACATCGTATCTATGTCCGCATGTATCATTACATATTTAAAGTGAACAATTCACGATTGTAGTACAAACGCATAAGATAGAGGAAAAAAAACCTCACGTATCTTTCCGTTTCTTATGTTAAATAAATGAAAAACCACAACAAAATGTATTCGCGGTCTATGCACTCGGCATAATGAAAATATTTAATGAGCAACTCCAATTACGATCAATTGCTGATAGTTGAATCTATTGATATTTCTTTGAAGCTTCCAATGTTTTTCATACATGCATTCTATAATACGTAGAAACGCATGCGTTGATCAGAATATATTTCTTTTATCTACCTGAAGTTTTTTTGTTTTATTGTATGCACCTTCATGAATTCGCTGTGTACAACGGAGAATAAAAAGAAATAAGAAATTATGACTCGTAAAAGTACGCTTAACCACACGTTGAAATTTATGCTCACTTTGTGTGGTATTTGGCCGGGCACATCGTATGTTCTACCTTGTAGAATATTTTGGATCGTTTCATTGACAGTTACCTTATTCTGTCACTACCGTTATTTTCTGACACATGTACATTCTGCTGAAATATTAGATTTAATGGATTGTTTGTCCAGCTTCCTAGCATATTCCAAAATTATTATTAAGTTCCTTGTGTTTTGGTTAAATGAGCGGTAAGTAATATTATTTAATTTGTATACAACGTTGAAAGCATCAAAAATATTACAATTGATGCAATCATTATTCATGTCAAAACTCTAGCAAAAGATGTATATTGTTATTTCAAAATTACAATTTTACAAAAAATTTATTTATACAACTTTCATTTTTAAAATATAATTGCAAATAATATTATTATGTAATCACCAAACATTCTTTTTAAAATATTATGTGTGTATTTCATACTAATTTGATCAGCTTCAGGTAAAAAAATATTATAAAGCGCTCTAATTAAAAAATATTGTTGCAATATTTTTACTTTATAATATTAATATATAGTTATATTCATTATATTAATAATTTATAAACAAAAATTGTTGGTGAATAAAAATAACAAATCTTTATTTGTCAATTATTTGTTAATTTTAAGTGCCTAGACATTTACATGATGACAATTAAGATTATCTTGCGATAGTACGATTAATAAAAGCAATTATTCACAGAAAATTCGTTGAAATTTTGACAGTGATGGCAGAAGG